CCCCAGGTCCTCCTAAAGCTCCAACACCTGGTCTCCCCAGGTCCTCCAACACCTGGTCTCCCCAGGTTCTCCTAAAGCTCCAACACCTGGTCTCCCCAGGTCCTGGACGTTACAGACTGGAACAACCTTAAAGGGACGCGTTGCTGATGTTACATTTAAAACGACTATTTGGTTTTTATTTGTAAAATGTTCCACTTTCTTCATTTAGACTCTTGATGTTCTGCTGCTGATGAAATGGGGGTTTATGAGATTTACAAATCCTTGCATTTCGTTTTTATTTAGTGTAAATAACGTCCCAACACTTTCAGAATTGAGGCTGTTAAAGCGTTCTGTGTTCTTCTTGAGAACATTTCTGCATCCAGGCATCCACAAACGGGCCCACACACGGATGCACACTTGTTCAGACTCCACACAGGAGCTAACAGAAGTTTCCTTTTCATCACAATGCAGCAGAAGTGAGGAGAACAGAGCAGATGTGTGTGTGCTGCAGATCATACTCACTGGTTCCCTCCTCTGAAACCATCCCAAGTCCCTCTGCCTTGTTCTGCCTTTCAAACGCATTCAGGTCCAGAACGCTGCCGACATCAAAACATGTTTTAATAACTTTAACAAATACATGAAACGCCGCTCTCACTTACAGAAGCTCAACTAAAACTATCCCAGACCTGCAGGTCTGCATCAGAGCCTGAACGCTGAGGAAGAACCCCACGTCCTTCTTGTCCTTCAGGTAGTCCAGCATTTTCTGCACGCAGACAAACAGGGAGAGACAAATTCTTCCAAACAATCCGCAGAACACGTACAATCTTCGTCCTCCATCTTACTGGTGAACAAATAAAGGTGTAGGTTTCCAGCTTTCCCAGACTGGTTTTACCTGCTGAACATCGCTGTTGCCTCCGTTGAGGATGGAGATTCCCAGCTTGAGTGTGGAGGAAACCATGACTCCTGGTTCACCTGGAACCAGCAGAAACACATCATGGATGTGAAACTAGAGCTGAAACCACCGTGGGTCTAGGGACTGGGACTCTTTGGGGCTCGTGGATGTGGGGGTAAGTCACCTTTACAGGCGCTGATCATCTGCAGCACCATCTCTGCAGCCCCGCGGTTGTGCAGACGGGACTGCTGGTACAGGAGTCGCTGTTTCTCCATCTCCTTATCCTGCAGAGCAGAACGAGCGGGACAAGAGCTGAAACCCTGCAGAGAGAACCTGCACTGCCCCCCCACACACACTCACACTCACACACCTGTGATGCTCTGAAATCGTTCCTGCTTTAACTACACTGTAAAATACAATTTACCGTAATTTCCGGACTATAAGCCGCTTCTGTATTCACACCACAGTTTATACAACGCTGCGGGTAATTTATGGATTTTTTTTTTTGACGGGCTAACAAGCTTCATGCCATCAAAACATTTAGCCTCGTTACACCCGGGCACTCGCAAAGCTGCCCAGTACACGTGTCTCTTTGGGGGGGTGTCCTCGTGACTCAATGAGACTACCTGTATAAATAAAGGTTAAAAAAAAAATCTGACCAATGAAATTACCGAACAGAGTGGGGAGGCGGGAAACTTTGTTTCTTTGTGAAGTTAGCGCTCACTGACATCCTGATGGGCTCGGTATTATTTATTTATTTATTTATTTTTACCAGCTGTATTTTTTTACAGGCTTTGTTCAGGAAAAAAAAAAATACTGTACGCATTTGTGTATGTTACCGGTACTTATTAAATTAAAAGTTTTAAAAATCTTACAACGTGGACACCAGCAGCCTATAGACAAATGCAGCCTCTATATGTACAAATCATTATTATTAATTTAATTTAGTGGGTGCGGCTTATATTTGGGTGCACTCAACAGTCTGGAAATTACAGTAAATATTTTGTATTTGACTCTAATAGATTTGAAAATTAACACCTTGAATTACTTTTTAATTATTATTTTAGCAACTAATTTACAGCCGAAAATAATTGTGAAATTTACCGTCAAATACTGAACACTGAATTATATTTAATAATAAAAGTATCTTCCAAGATAATAAACTTTACTGGTAATAACGGGCTGCAGTTGGTGACATCAGGAACATTTCAGTTTATTGTTTATAGCCACTAAGATGTTTGGCATCTTGGAAATAAAAATAATATTTAATAAGAATGTTTTTAATGTGATGACTAAGAAATATTAAGTGAACTTTTATAATTATGCATAATGAGTTTCAAACGTTAAAAACTAAACTTTAATATACTTTGGGGGAAAAAACAAATAAATAAGTTTCAACACCAATGAAGAGGAGCTTTGTGACGACACTTCCTTCTACTTCAAATAGTCACGCCCAATTTTGGGGGTAAAACCACGCCCACTTTTGCAAAAACAGTAAGAACACTGGTTTTAAAGTGGAAACAAATGTGGAATTGTTGCCTAAAAATTTCTACATTGCATATAACACA